GTTCTGGTCATGTTCTGACCCGCTACTATGGGCCCTTACACCTGCCCTCTCACTCTGGCCCTCCCAACTCCAGCCCTCACTTTGCTAAGTAGAGGCTAAGATCCCATTGGACAAAAGGAAAAACTGGTACAGAAGATTGACTCAGCTGGAAAAGCCACCTCTCGTGACTTCAGGAGAGACTCCTAGAATGCCAGACTCACCTAAGCTTGTCAAACCTATGAGGAATTCAAGGCCAGACCTGGCTACATAGTGAGTCCCAGGCCACTCAGGGCTACATGACACCCTCTGTAAAAAGAAAAATATAAAAACAAAGAACAGCAAGAACAAGAGCCTATGAGCAGGAGGGAGTGTCCTGTAACCCTAGGTTTTCAGAGTCGAAATCAGCTCGTGTTAGTTTGTCCAGGATAAAGTTCCACAAATGCTTGATTTTTCTCTAAAGACAACTTTCTTATAGGAAATACCAAAAGAAGAATCCACTGGGCTGCAGCTTCTCTCTCTCTCTCTCTCTCTCTCTCTCTCTCTCTCTCTCTCTCCTGGCCTAGCTCTGGTTTGGCGAATCTACTTTAAGGAGGCTATGCTTACTTCAGCCCCATGAATTAGCATTGGAAACACCTTACAGCCAATGTTTCTCCTGCTGGGTGTCTCTCATTTCTGGAGGAGATGGGAGTTTCCTTTATGAGGCAGAAGTCACTGATGCTCAGTGCACTGTTAAGCTTGGAGAGGTCCATCAGAGGCGGCTGGCTCTGGAGGCCTTCACACAACCCAGCTCATTCACTGTCAAGAAGAAATCAGGTGACAGGCAGTGACCCTTCCGCGTCTTCTCCCAAACTCTCTGCCTTGGTTCCTGCCTCCTATCAAAATCCACAGGCATTTCTTGCTGCAGCAGCATGTGGGCCTCCATGAGAAGCAGGCATGCCTGGGAAGCTGAATCCTGCCTCCCTCCACCTGCAGTGGGTTCGGGCAGATACTGTGTGGGAGCTCTGATGGCAGGTGGCTGAGACCCAGGTCCTGCTTTGCTCCACTGGAGGCTGTTTGGGGACACAAACTAGGCCAAACACAGAGATCATAAAACAAAATTTATCTTTAATTGGTAAGTGTCAACAGCAGTACAAAAGATGGAGTGATGACAGCTAGTTTAGGGTGGAGAGGACAGTCTTGAGGTAAATGAGCATAAACAGGCAGTTCTTACAGACGCTCCCCCGCGGGCCTGAGCCCCACCATGGCACATACATTGTTGCCCGAGGATGGCATGTCTAACATATCAGGAAAGCACCTTGTGCAAAAACGGAAAAAAAGTAGCTAAGGTGCCAACATACTCCGGGATAGAGACTGCGCATCTTCGACTTGTCCCTTAATCGTGAGGCAGAGCAGGGGAAGACTTGGAGAAGAACCACTGGAGGGTGTTTGATGCTGAGTTTATCTCACGGCAACACTGTACAACAAGATCCCAGAGGTCTGTGTATGCCACAAAGCTAAGGGCATCCACTCCTTTCAACGGGAAGAGATTCTTTTGTTTTTTCCATTTCTTTAAATCCTTAGCGAACTCTTTTTTTTTTTTTTTTTTCATTATCAAGAGGAGAGTGTGCGCAAGCTGTGATGGCGAACCTTCAGGTCATTTAAAAACTTTACACTGGACTGTACAAGTTTTTGATAAACTATTTACATTTTCAGACTTTCAAACATATTCAAAGCAGCAATAGACACTAGTTTCATGTTTTGTTTTGTTTTTTCCTAATTGCCCAAATAGTTACCAGCTGTGGGCTAAATGGATACCTGTGGTATACATAGTCATTCTACAAAGAAAATCTGCACTTAAAATTTGCTTGAGGGTGCACTCGAAGTCCCTGGGGTCTCAAGGGCTACACCCAGCGTTGCTATGGGAACCAATGCACAGTACCTTGACAACAGAGTTGCAGTTGTCCCAACAGCCCTACACACTTTACACTTTGCAACAGCAGCCAGCATTTTCTGTCAGTCCAGCATGTCAGTGAATTGTGCTAATTAAATTAACATAGAATACAACCTCACAATATACATCACAAACAAATCACAATGTCGGAAAAGAAGAGTTACAGTCAGATAAGTTATGTAGTAACAGCTTAGAAGCTTGTCTAACGTAATAAAACACTTTACACGGCAAATACAATAATGGTGAACACAAGTGTAAGCATTCTAACTCGCTACAAGCTGGAGAAGGGAACACTGAAGACCGCACTTTAAAAAAATGTTAAAAAAAAAGACCAAACGCATGTATGACAAAAGCAGACGAACAGAGGACGCACACCAGCAGACCTGCACTGTGCCGCACACAAGACAGTTAAATATTTGCACATTCCCCATAATCCCAGAGCACCAGCACTGGGGCTCTGCTTTATGCCTGCGGCTCTCCAGGAATAAGAAATCACTGAGCAAGCACCATCACCCACCTGTCCTGCTGCCATTAGAAGGGAATCTGCAGGAAGCCTCCCCTTTCGGTCCCTCCCCGACCCACTCCTCCTCTGCCAAGGTACCAGCGTTCTCAGTACCTGTTCACGAACTTTTGGAAAGCATTCTGTCCCCAAAGGAAAAGATGGGGTGGATAGGGACAAAAAAGATTTTCAATCTTTTTTTTTTTTTTCAATGTGCAGAGCCTGCTGAGCAGCACATGGCATCAACAACAGGGTGATTTACAGGAAAAGGGCTGTTGATGGAGAAGCCATGCTGGCGGCTGATGCCACGAGAAGCGACCCAAGTGCTTTTATCAAAGGACAAGTGAGGTCACATACAGTCAGTCAGTACACGGGGAGAGGTGAGCTGAGGGCCAGCCCAGTCCTTGCATGAGCACAGACATGGGACAAGGCTGCAGCAAACACTGCTGTCACTTTGTCATCGGGGATGGCCAGGCTACCGTGGCAATCCTTTCCTCTAGCTACAGCTCTTTGAAGTTGTTGGCACTTGGTATAGGACTCCTCCTGTGGTTCAAAACTACAAAGCAATTGTCTTTCCCTAAGGAATTGGGAAAGTCAATTTCTTGAAAAGAGAGTAACGGAAGGTAGCAGCCTCCTCGGTGGCATCCAAGAGACCGGGCCACCTTTCTACTGAGGGGAGGTGGGTGCCCCTGGCAACCACAGGGCTCCTGGCCATGTAGCCTGGTTACACTGAGGCTTGACTTCGGCTCTTCAAGGATCATGCCCTCTTAAAGCACTCCAGGCTCCCAAGGGGCTAATGTCCAGAAGAACTAGCTTTTGACAAGCTCAACAGCACTGTGCGCCGACACCTGAATTTAGAACTTGGCCTGGAAGTCGGTGTCAGGACCCTGGCAAACCAAATCAGGCCTGAGGACATGCTGGCAGGTATCAAATAGCAAATGAGGCAAACCTGAAAGGTTGAGTGGGGTGCTTGGGAAAACAACAAAGCTTCCTTGCAAAGGACATGGCCTGGAATTTGCCAGTGGAGAAGATAAACTGCCAAGCAGCCACTCACATACATGAATGAGGCTTCTCTTCTGCTGTCCCTTTTCTCCTTCTTCCCTTCTCTTCCTTCCTGTTCCATAGAGCCCATTTTTTAAGGAGAGGATTGTCTACCAATGTCCCTCTTCCCACTGACAAAGAAAAGCCTGCTTCTGTGACTTCTTTAATGGAGATAAACTTGGGCTTTGCCTCACAGATACTGTGAAACAGAACAGTGCATAAAGGGGACTCCCATGCTCCCCTGGCTGGCGGGTGGGGCTTTTACTAGGAGCTGATGGTGCAGGCTGATCTTTATGTCTGAAATACAAATCCTATTTCCTGCAGTTACATAGTCATAGAACTCTCTGGGAAGATGGATCTGGATTCACAAAGCAAATGGACTCTTTCCGAGCTCTACTGGAAACTCAGTATGTTCAACTCCTTGACTTTCTATAAGAAAAAAGGAAAAAGTCTGAGTCAGTGGATACTGGGTTCTGAACTGCGTGAGAACTGGGTCCGGGGGTTCTGCTGTCTCGGCTGAGGATGGCCACACCCCTCGCTGGAGCTGATAACTCACTGTCCACACTAAAACTGACTTGTAATCTTTCAGTGTGGATAGAGAAGAGGAAGGAAATACAGAACTTATATCTCACTAGGAATCCATGAACCAAAAATAAATTCTATTTCTATGTTATATTTACACAATTAGAAAACTCTAAAAATGAGATGGTAGAGTCATAAAAACTTTGTTTAAGCCCCACTGATGTAGAACGAAGCAAGCTCTGTGATTGTCATTCTCGATTTCCATGGATATTTAGAGCCAAATGTGGCTAATAAATAGAATAAACTGTGTATGCACAGAATTTGGATTTGAATACAGCATCACTGTCTGAGCTGATGAAAGAGGCGTTTACAACCAGATCATTCCCAAACAGTCTTTCGTATTTAAGAATGTGGCTAGAAGTTACTGCACCCCAGTGCTGAGGGAGAGCTGGAGCTCAAACAAAGTGTTCATACACACATGTATTTTGCATAAATAAATGAAATAACAAGACATAAAAATGACTCAGATCCGGCAACTGTGAGGCAAGCCCACACGAGTCGAAACAGATGACTTTTGTTCATGTAGTTTTTGTACAACAGTTTCACATTAGTTAGAAGTGATAAAAAATACCATTTATATCCAGTGCTTATAACACTTACGAAACAACATCTGTGAGTGTGTGTGTTTTTGTTTTTTTTCTTTTTTCTTACTACAAGCAAAATCAAGTTTCAGTCCTAAAGAACAGTCCTTTGTTCTCCACCAGCCCAGAATATTATTTTGGCATGGTCATAAAAACAAACAAAATTAACTACTATGCTAAATGTTTGCCTTTGTGCAAAATTAATTACATACAATACAATGCTAACCATACAACACTACCTATGCAGTGAAAGAAAGAAAGAAAGAAAGAAAGAAAGAAAGAAAGAAAGAAAGAAAGAAAGAAAGAAAGAAAGAAAGAAAGAGAAAGAAAGAAAGACAGAAAGAAAAAGAAAGAAAGAAAGAAAGAGAGAAGGAAGGAAGGGAGGGAGGGAGGGAGGGAAGGAGGGAGGGAGGAAAGGAGGAAGCCATGAGAGCAGACGCCAAGCCAAAGAGAAGGGAAAACAGCCATGGAGGGACTGAGGAGACAGAATCCAAGAAAACAGTAAGACATAATAAATACTCCTTTTGTTTTTGAAGTGACCTCCTCCTCATTTGAAATCAATGTACAAAAGCAAAGTTCCAATCCTCAATCAATATTAAGAACAAACATTCCTATCGGTACCTTAAAGAGCTTATGGAGAGCACTCACAGCTAATGACAGAGCTGGTCATCTCTTGGCTAGACCTATTTATTGCTATTAGGTATGGTCCAGAGCACTCTTTAAATAAATAGGAAAGTATACTACTTTCTTCCAAGTGACAAAGTGGCTCAAGAGATTTGATGGAGCGGCTTCTTGTCCTGGTGATCAGATTCTGGGCTGTCCTGTTCACTGACTCCCTCCTACTGAGGCTCTGGATGAGGTGCCCCCAAAGGCAACCAGGCCTGGGTTCTGGAAGGTCAAAATCATGGCACAGAAGAACGGCCTGCAGCTAGGAGTTGGGAGAGGGGGCCTCCCTCCCAGCATGTCTCCAGAACATGCCTCGAGAGGCAGGAGTAGGTCACCTCATTTATAAGCAATCACTGCAGAAAGAGGTCCACCAGAGTAGCTGGTGGGCTGCCGGGAAGCCGTCTGTCCCCCAGAGCTAACAGCATTTCACTGCGTCTCTTTCCCTGTGGTTACCTTTCCTTCTCTGGATGCGTCCTGACTATTTGCCCCTATCTTTCTTCACTTTGAAGATGTCATGTGGCTTCTCTTGGCCTGGAGAGTCTGCAAAGATCTCTACGGATGTGCCAGCCAGAACAAGGTAGCTCAGTAAAGGTGACAGCTCATGCCTGCTCCACCATATACCCCTGTGTGGTCCGTGGTCCTTGGGCTTCGGATTATCTGTGAGATACTCTCGACTGGCAGTGACCCTTGCTGACCCTTGCTGCTGAATGGAACTACTGCTTGCTGCAAACTGAATTAGGAGGAAAGTCTGTTCAAAGACCTGAGGTTGTAGCGACCCTCAGGAGAGTATGTGTTTACATGTAGGACACCTCGACCCAGATGCACAGCCCTGCAGCCGGATATACACTCATCTTTAGAAACAATATATGCATTCACGTTTCAGAAATGCTTCTGGGGACTCTGGGGACATAAAATCACTATGTACATCTTTTATATCCAGCAGGAGAAAGAGGTGAAAGAGCTGAGTTCTTCAGGGAAAGAGGGCAAAAACCAAAACTTATTAAATTAATGCCACCAATAATTTTTTAAATAAATAGTAAGTGGACCCTTGACATTCTGGAATGAATAAATTATTTAAGAGAACAATGTTAAGATTGAATGTCAGGGTTAAAGGCGAGGGGAGAATGGATGTAGTGAGAGGTGGTCTCAGGCAGAGGGGACCACCGTGTCCGTGTCTGGTGTGGTGATCGCTCTGGTGTGTGTGTCATCCCACAGCACACACTGATGGCACATCAAGAGGCAAACACAACTGGGTACATGCACTGTGGCAACCTCGCTTACTCTTTACAATATCTTGTCTCCAGATTCCTGAGTACTTCACCATTTTCTGGAAAAAAAAAAAGTGTGGTTTTGCTATTTTATTTTAAGATGTCAAAGATTGTCTAAGACTTTGCAGTGTCTCCTTTAAGACTTTCAAAATATTTAAGATTCAAAAGTTATGAAAAAAGTTTGGCACATTCAAAGTTGAACATGGAAAAAAAATGGAATTCCGAGGCCTTTTGAATATGTTCTCTAAGCAGCCGCACATGCCGTGGACTTGTCCTGTTTCACAACACGAAATCCTCAGTTGTTTCTAAAGTAATTCAGAATAAAAACACATTCACAACCTGTAGGCCGGCACAGCATACCTGAGTGAGAATGTTTAACCCCGTCTAAAACAGTAACTTAAACCTTTATCAACATCCAAAAGGGGGGAAAAGTAAGACAAAAATATAAGACTTAGAAGACAGCTATGGGTTGAGATAAGTTTTCAAGTCCTGGTGTCTCATATTTAATATGTCTTCACCTAAATTAAAAAAACAACAACAACAATAACAATAACGACAAAAAACTCAAGTTCATGAAAAATCAGGGCAAACGTAATCTGTCTCACACATCACGAAACAATGAAGACCATTCTGCTGATGGAACTGTGGAGCCACAAATGCATGCGGGCTCTTTAAGAACTTTTGTTGTTGTTGTTGTTGGGGGAAGGGGAGAAGTGTCAGAGTGTCTTGACTCAGCAACAAGAACTCCTCAGTTGGCACTGACGGGCTCCGGGGCCTCGTTCTCGCTGCTATAGTCTGACTTGGGGTCATCTTCGTAGTCGTCATACGCTTCCATCTCGTCCTCTCCATTCATCACTTCGTTTCCAGCCAGGCTCCCGCCATCCATCTTCATACCATAAGTGCTCTGGATGACCGGGAGGCTGGGCTCTGGGCTGGCAGAGGTGCTAGAGCAGTCAGATGTCATCTGAGGTGACGGTGTGGTTGTTGCCATAGTAATAGCACCAGGATACACAACACCTGTTCCTGCGGTGATGGGAATCTGAGGCTGTTGCCTGTATAGATTCAAAAACAAAATAAAATAGAGAGGCAATCTCACTGCAGGTTCTCCTAGGACTTTACAACCCACGTTTCCAAAGGGAGGGAGGGACCCTTTAACACTCTCAATGACAAGAAGTGACAAAGACAGTCCTTGGGGGGGATCCTTGTACTCTCTCTGATGCTGTGATTGGTGGATCAATAATACAACAGCAATTTGCTGATGGTTCTACAACATAAAAGCAGAATTCTTTCAAGTAGGCAAATGTTGCAAAGCTTGGATGGCTCTCGGCACCAGGCACCACAGCTACAGTTAATGCTACAGTAGTTCTTGAGAGATCAGTGTTCAGAGCGCTCTGAGGGGCACGGGCCTCCTGTGATAACCCATCTCCACCTCGGTTTGGAAATAATAGATGAAAAAGCAAGATGGGGATGGACCTAGAACGTCCCAGTGAGTCAGATGAGGCAAGGGATTCATTTCATGTCTATGCTAATGTGTATTCGTTTCTGCTGCTGGACTTGCTGGGTTAGGATCCTTCTAGAGCAATCATCTTAGATGCATTACGCCTCAGACCTGGGGTTGGAGCTGGGGCTGGAGGACTTAGGAGTAAAGCACAGTGAGCTTTGCACCCTAAGGGAATAACAGACACTAGGCATGCTGTCCCTGCTAGATCCCAGCAGGTGGCAAGGGCAGGCCACACCAGATCATTCCTTCATACTGTGTCCCCACTTCAAGTGAACTAGAAGAGTCTTGTGAAGGTCAGGCTCTGCCCTGCAGAGAGTCAGCCAGTCTCCCTGCAGGGAATTAAAGCTGTACCCACTCAGTCTGTGTCTCAAATGATGCTTTCAAGGATGTAGTGTTCACCAAGTGGGCCTCAGTGTTTAAGAACAGTAGGTTACGGTCACTTCAAAGTGTCAGCGTACTTATTTTTTCTAATCCTTGCTTTCTGTCTTGTAAAAGTTGGAGTCGGGAGCTCTGGATGGTCTTCCTACCATATTGTAACCAAGGCTTCTGGTCAGTCATCATTTGAGTGATTCTTATAGACCGGCCAGGCTTTTGAGACTTTCTATCCACCTCACTCTCAGGAAAGACCTGGATGTAGGAAACAGATTTGTCATGCCTGTGACACTTCCAGAGGGGTGTTAGTTCTTCACAGAAGCCACTGGCCTCCAGCCTGGGAGAAGAAAAAGGGGAGATGCCCAGAGCTCCGTGCAGATGTATGCGCATCCTGCTCTTAAGGCCCGTCAGCCACTAAGAGGCATCACCCTGATTCTTTTAACCATTCACTAACATAATGTCTGAAACATACACGTGTAATTATAACATACATACATACAACACGCATATAACTTCATTCAACTAACACGACCACCCCATGAGCTCTTACTCCCATTCTTCAAATGAAGAAAGCTGTGCTTCTGGCCGTGTTCAACGCCAGTACGGCCAGAACTTGCGCCTACGCCGTCACCTGGCTCTCATGCCCTCACTTTCCTTCACAGGTGTTAACAGACACTCACTGAGCTTGTAACTTCCACAGACTTTCTTACAATATGGATCTGGAAAGTGACCTCCAAAGACTCATGTGCTGAACTCAGGCTTGGTCTCGACACTTGAGGGTCTGTGGCTGGTAGAAGGAGGCAGGTCGTGTCACTAGGCTGTACCCATATTAGGACCCTGGGCCCTTAATGGGCTCTGTCAGGTGACCAGATTTGCTTCAGTGTGTGCTGAAACATGGTATTCAGCCTCACTGGGGCCCAGGAGAAATGGAGCCTGGTGCTCACGGGCTGGACCTTCCAGGACTCAGCCACATCAACCCCTCCTCCTCCGAACTGATGCTCTCAGGTATTCTCACAGGACAGAAGGCGGGCTCCACAGCATTTCACTGACCTGGCATTGCTATTGGACCTGATAGGAATTCAGTGTCTATGATTCCTATGCTGGTCTCCTGAAGGAAACAGGTGATAGGCGCTTAGCCTATGTGTAGACAGGCCTTATAACTACTGCTTTCCCTGTCATCGACTCAAATTCTAAATACAACGTGCTTCTTGCTTCCTAAGTTTTGGCTAAATTAACACAAATTAAATTTCATGCTAGCCTGCCCAAGACAGTAAGTGAAAACTACATTAAATTTGTAACTGAGTTTTGATAATCACAGTAGAAACAGTTTTGCCTTAATCACATTACAAGTGTAGAGAGAAAACCTTTACTGCAATTTTCACCCATTTTACAGATTTAATGGTCTAAACTGCAGCCTACTGTGAACTGTTAAAGGTACAGTGCTTTTCTATAAAAGATACTTGTTTCTCATAAAGAATAGGTGGTCACTTTTTAAATATTTCAATCAAAATGCTTCTGTGCAATTTTATCTTTATGTCTGCTAAATAAATGTAAATTGAGCTCCTGCCCTCTGTGGGGACTACACTTATTTGATGTCACATCATTTTGTTTAATCCTCATAATAACCCTTTGACACTGTTTCCCCTCTTTTACAATGTTAAGTTGCTTGTACAAGGTCACTCGAGTGCCACAGGCAGGATGTAAAACCTTCCTGGTATCACAAATTCTATGGTAGGTTTTGGATGATAAAGGCAAGGTCAGCCATCATGAAAAATATGGATTAAAAAAAAAGAAAGTTGAATTAGAACCAAAAATTTTTAAGCTGGACTCAACATATTTAACAGTATCTGGATATTAAGTTGACAGTGAAATATTTAAAAACAGACAAGCATATAATGCATCTATACAACTTTCTGGACTGAGACCATAGTACTCAAAGTCAGCACCCCAGGGTGGGGACAGCAAATGCTGAAGTCTGAAGGGACAAAGGTAACAAATCAGGGGCTACTCCCCACCTCGAGGAAACGAAAGGCCCCATCTGCAAAGGGCCCCACACTCGTACAAGTGTTTTGGGGTACATGTTAATGCTGAAGTGAGAATTTATTCTGTTTAAGAGATGTTTTTTGCCTGGGGAAGGCCTTCTAGGAAGAAGATTGTGTGATACAGTGCAGAGCTCAAGGCTGGCAGTCAGATTTAGGGTGAATTCCAGCCCCATGAAGTGGCTGGCTGCACGGCCTTGGGAGACATCCTCTTCTCTCCCGAAAGCATTAGAATGTCAGAATAATGACACTCACATGACAAGACTGTCAAGGAGACGAAGTAAGTCTATACACGTGAGCATTTCACACATGTGGAGTGGTACGAATGCCAGCTTCTTTTCTCTCCCTTCCTGGGCAGCTGGTGGACGCTTACAGACAGCAGGCATACTCTGTGTCTGGGAAGATACTGAGGCGGTGACAAGGGGACAGGCTGGGTCCTGGCCACCAAGGGTGTTTTACACTGGTGACACAGACTGTAGAATGCTACTCTGTGTCACGCCTGGCCAGGAAGACACTTTCTGAAGCGGGAAGTGCCAGATTTCTTCTGGGAAATGATGATAAAGGAAACAACCCGATGGCAAGCATTTGGTTCTACGAAGCGTTTTCCCTAACTTAACTCCCTCCTTTCTATGTGCCCATCACTGTCAGTGCTCACTGCCAGGCTTTTTGCTCTCCCTAGGACTCTGCCCCACTAACAGTTTTCTGAAAGTTGACTGCTTGCTTCACTAGTGGGCCTGTAAGTGGGATTACTCCTTCCTAGCCTCTCATGGTGCCTTCTAAGCTATTTTTAATACATCCACCTTAAAAACCTCATACCTGAATCTGTCATCAGACTAAGCTTCCTGCTAACACCTTCAGATGATTCCTCTTGGTCCTCCCTCTTAGCCCTTGGGATGCTCTGCCTGTCTGTGCTCTGTCCTGCCTATGCTCTGTCCTGGTTAGGCTCTGCCTGCCTATTATTCTCTGCCTGGCTATACTTTCTGCATTTATCAAAGTGAGCTCTGCATCACCCTCTGGTACTGTCCAGCCTGCAGGCCTAAGCTAACTCAGTCCTACAGATTCAAAACTGGGCCAATCATCCCCCCGATCTGGTCTTCACATGGCTATCCTGATCCTGGCTAATAAGGGTATTTCGTGTTGGCTCTCCCTCAGGAAATTATCTAGAATCCATCTGCTCCTTACCACCTCCACTCCTACACACCTGGTCCAGTCACCCTCAGCTCCAGTGTAGTTTCTCCCAAGAGCCTCTGTGCTACAGACTGTTCCTCTTCAGACAAGCCTCAACACAGTGTAGATTGATCCCTTCAAAACTTAGGTCAAAGCTCAGCATCTTTTTCGACTTTTAACCCTTCAAAGCCTTTCCTCTATGGCAGCCACACTCTCCTTTGCACTTGAACTGGAGGCTACTTCTCACTTGTCCGCTTCCTAAACTTCAAGTCCCAGCCTTGGGGCTCCCAGTGGCAGGGCTGTTCTTACTTCTTACCGCACGGCAAACTCTCTTCCTGACCTTCAGTTTCTCTTGTCCACGATACCTGGATAATGACTTCATTCCACAGTGCATGTTCATCCTATTCTCTCTGTACTGTCCGCTGGTACAACAAACTGTAACCTGCTAATCTATCCATGTATGTGTGTTGCTTTTCTAACTGTGCCATTCTCTTGTCTATAAAAGAACGCTCAGTTAATTTAGTACACAGCTGGGCCTCTGACTGGTTTCAAATATCCCTTATCAATTGACTGGTTAATCAATAAACAAAATGAAAAAAAAAATGCAGTTGGCAGCATCAAGCTTTGTAGACCAGGAACAATCTTCCTAAAAAGCATTTTTCCTTCTTTTACAGATCAATTTCAAAGTCAAAATTCAAACACTGCAGACTTCACAAATAGGAGTAAATGGTGAGCACTGTGTTCCACAAATAACGAATGTGCACATCAAAACAGAAGTTGAAGATGTCTGTAAAGTGTTCACACTTAGCTGAGTGGATACAGCAGAGGCGGCCTAGACAGAGCTCAGCACTGAGGCACAGTTCTCAAAGACTAGCTCTAGGGTAGAGTGTGGCTTTGCCAATTACCAAAGGTCTGCATGCTTATGCTGCATGCTGGTTACTTGCTAACCCTAAAACCTCTACAAATGAAAGCAACAAGGTTCATATCATAAGGTAACACAAGCATTACAAAGCTCCGTGGCTGATGTCTCAGGAAGGAATGGAAATAATGCAATCCCATGTCATCTGTGGCCACTTCTAAGCTGGCTTCCTTACAGGGCAGTGTGGAAGAAAGTATGTCCAGTCTCTGAAAGTGCCTTAACAGCTTCATTCAACTCCTTTTGAACTGAGATCAAAATGGCACTTTCAGATCACTTAGAGCATAATTCTATAGGAAAATAACGCTTTTAAGGCAGTATGAATCGAATACCTAACACATAGATTTTTTATACTAACAGTTCTAATTCTAATTGGGGGATTGCAGTATGTCAGACACTGCACCAAGCATTTTCAATATGCCAAGCTAGTCAGTCTTCAGAAAGGGCTCATGGTATTGGTGCCACTGCTGTCCTTATGTTACGTAGGAGAAAACTGAAATGCAGAGAGTTGAAGTGGGGGACTCAGGGGAGCAAAAATCCACATGTGCTGGTTCCTCAAAGAAGCAACTATCTGCATCTAGCATCTGAGGCAGAGGCTGGCTCACCACTGTCCTCCCAGGCTCTGAGAGATGTGCTTGGTCCTAAGAGAAAGGATGCTTTATATCCATCAGCCTGCTTAACTGTCAGTGCTACCACTGACTGGCCATGCGGCCTTGGACAAAGGACTTAATGTCTGCAAACACCGTGCTTTTCAACACTCTGATAATACTGTGGATCTAATAAATTTGATATATTTTCAACAATCTATATAATTCTGCACAGTATATTACATACTGTGAGTATTCAATAATTTGCCATTATTATTGTTTAAAAAGTTACCCGACTTTAATACTCAGTAGTACCTGTGTGTTCCCTACTAGTTCAGGAGTAAATTACTAAATATGTTTTCAATTAAAAATGTCTTTAGTATAATTCTTTAAAGAAACATATTATTGTAGATACACAGGCCTCAAAGAATATCACTTCTCCGTTAATAGTACATCTATCAGAATTATCATAAAATCTTGATAGTTAATCTGCCAGCTGAAGGAATTAAATCCCAGGTAAGAGCTAATTCTATCCCATACCATGGACAAAATCATTCTGTAATAGATAAGTTAAAAAAAAAATCTAACTCATCAGTTTACAGCTGTGTAGTCAGTAAAATACAGAAAAATGTTAAGTAACATACATTGTGTTATCGGCTTCAAAGTTAGCGAGTCTTTTCAAAATCAGCCATAAACATTGATCGTGTGTCCATCAAGACGTCAATAGCAATAGTGGAGTTTTCCGTTTGTTTTGCTCTCTGTGCCTCTTGTCGTAACCTTACAGCTAATGAAGATCAGTTTCCAAAGATGACTCTCAGGGGGGTTGGCAATCTATCAAGTTTCACTTAAAGAATGGGAGTTTTTTTTTTTTTTTTTGGTTTTACATAGCAAATACTTCTAGTGATGGGCGGAAGGAAGCGCTCAGCACTGGAGACTGCAGAACAGAACATTATGGTCAACTGCCTGCCCTTCAGTAGTGCTGCTCACGGCAGTCTGAAATGAGCCTCTGTCAGCAGACCCTCCTGCACTGGGAGGCCACTCTAGCCTGTATGCTACACAGCTCCTTTTATGCTCCACATACCACAGTCACACACTGAATTTATTTCTGGGTTCTAGGAGCTCTTATTCAAATTACACAGCTGTGCTCACCGCTGTTCCAGAACAGACATCTTTTGACGGACATGGTGAGGACAGTTTCTTTGTTGTTTGGGATTGACAGAGTTGGAGACCTGGAGTTGAGCATTTTTGGGAGCTCTCTGGACCTTAATTCCTTTATCTTATTTAGAGGAGAGTGTAACTTGTATACAGAAGGTACCTATAGCACAGTGTAGGCACCCAATAAATGGTAGATGCCGTCAAGTCTTTTCAGTTTCATGTTTTTGGTTTGTGAGTTTGTTTTGAGACAGGTTCTCCCTATAACCCCAACTGGCCTGGAACCAGCTCTAGAGACCAGGTTGGCCTGGATCTCACAGAGCTGTGCCTGCCTCTGCCTCCTGAGTGCTGGGACTAAAGGTGTGTGCCACTACGCCCGGCTGAATTTCATGGTTTGTATGTGCCAGTATGTGTTGAGGTGTTTTGATCCAGAGCCATTTTAATACACCCCGTAGTAAAGGGGACTAAATTAAATAATATTACAATTTATATTTTAAAGCAAATATCAGGAAATAAAACAGTAGCTCTGGTAGCTTTTAGACTGTGGTGAAAGAGATCAACCAGGTATCACTGAACACACAAGGACTTAAGTACAAGGATCATAAAAGACTTCAAATTTAAACTTTTCAAGAGCTAAACACAACCTCAGGGTTACAGGAACAGTGTTAACGGAAGATATTTATCATGCAGTCTTAAATTTATATTTTATTACTTAGGTAGGACCAGAGTCTACTGAACAGGCACTTAAGAATTGGTGTTTTTCATAAATCCTGTAATTATCATGTAAATGGTCCAATTATATTGCATTGTACTTTCTGTGTTAGAAGCATTATTTTAAGAGATGCAAACACAGAACAGAGGTATCTCATATATCTATTTTGTCATGTCTTCATTTATTAATATATTGGAACCTTCATTTCATAAGGGTGGGTCAATTCTCATTCCCCAGAAGGTCCTGCCACAGTCTTAAGAATTCATAATTGAACTAGTGTGATACACAGTCTCTCTAGGAGAGAAACTAACTATCTGCTCAACAGGAATGGCAGGGCAGGAGCCTGTGGACCTTGTACTAAGCATCATCTAGAGTCGAAGGCACTACCTTATTGAATCTGCTCAGTAGGACGTGTGCTGTCTGCATGCTCATTCCTTCCATCCCATATGCTGAGAGAAGGTAAATCCCCAGCCCAAGTAGAAAGCTGGGTCTGTATTTGCCTCCCAGTGGTCAAACTCCAAAGCCCTGAGCTCTCCTTGAGACACTAGCATACCACACAGATAAGAACCTGGCCTACTTTCATTGACTTCAGAGATGTAGTCTGTCTACTTTTTGAATTAATTTCATCCTTACAGAACACACTTCAGAAGTCAGTGTGCTGTTTCCCTGGCCCGGGGGGGGGGGGGGGGGGGGGGTGTTCCCTGGAGCCTTCTGAGACACAAAGAGCACTTTCCTTCTCCTGGAAGGTCTCCCTTCCTGCACCTTTACCGGAAGCACAGCTCAGCTCCATACTCCTGCATGCTCCCATCTGCTTCCTCCCCTCCTCCCTCTCTCCCAAGACTCTCCCCTAAGACCACAGCTGCTTCAGCTGAACAGTCCTCGGGTTTCCACCCCATATGCTGCTGGGTCTGGGAGTTCCAGGCATCTGCCCCACTTATCCTGACTACTGTGGTTAGGAGGGGCCTCGTTTGAATGCAGACAGCCCGTCAGCCAAGTCGAAATTTATACCAGAAATCTATTACCTAATTTTTAAACAAAATGACATGAAATCAGACTTGAAGATATCAAAAACATGCCTAGTTTCTGATTCAAGCAAGAAAATCTACATTGTTACTGTTTCCACCACAGAATAATTTACTGCAACAGGAGTTCTGGATGAGATGCCAAAAATGAGGTCTTCTAACCAATGTCAAGGCCAATTATCTTGCGGTAGATCCCACAACAAAAGCAGACCATTGTGATTACAGTCAGAAGCCCCACCAGAGAAGCTGGGACGCTTCGGGACTGCTGAAATTTAGTTTGGGTTTTTTTTTTTTTTTCCCCTCCCTGTGTGTCTGTCTAAATAAACTACCAGAAACTCTGTGTGTGGGCACTGGGTAGCTCGGATGAGCACGGAAGATGGTGACGGGGCGTCAGTGGGTTTGCTTAGAGGCCGGAGTCCAAAGCTACATACAGGCTTGTGACACAACAGAGTCGCACAGCCAAGGCCTCCAGGTGTCACAACCCCCTCTCTTCATTAATCTCTTTCCCAACCCAGTGCCAGGAGCATCCTGTAGCTTCTTCCTGCCAGGAGAAGGGCAGGTGGCTTACCCCACAGTGAAGAACTGTCTCATTTCCTGCCTCCGGGACCGCATGAGCTGCTTGTACTCCCCGATCCGGAGCTTTTTTCCATCCACGATGCATGTGCGTTTGGGCCGGGGTTTGTACTTGTAGTTTGGGTACTTTTCTAGGTGGATCTTGCTTAGCCGGGCCTGCTCTTCGTAATAAGGTTGCTTCTCCTGGTTGGACATGGATTTCCAGCGAGATCCTAAATGTGAGAAAAGCCTTAAGCATGCGGGCGGTCAAGGCAATATATTCCAGGCTCAAACAACTAGACCTATCTCCTATCGCTTCACTACCTTTGCTGGGGGAACACCTGCTTTCACATACCACTGGACGTCCCAATCTGTGCTTCAGACCATGGAGCAAAAAGAAATATGCAATGGTAGAGTTATTGTGCTTTTTCTCTCAATACTTTATGGCTGGTGATACGTTATTTTAAAAATTCTGTTGCTGTTATTATGTGTGTGTGCATGGGTACACGTGGGGGTCAGAGGACAACATTGTGGAGTTGGTTCTTTCCTTTTATCTTTATGCTGGCTCAGGGGATTGAACTCAGGTCTCTAGGCTTGCTAGGCATGCACCTTTACCTGCTGAGCCATCCTGTCAGCCCCACTGTGCTATTTCAAAGCATGTCTTTGCTGCTTAAAGATCATTTGTCACAATCAAGAGTTTCCCTGTTCACCTGTCCCTCCCTCTCTCCCTTCCATCTTCAAAAAGTTAACAGAACAAACTTTCTAAGCATACTTCCAACACTGGCAGGCTTCTCAGGAAAGCTCTCTTGGTCTCAGAAATTCAAATACATGCCCCCCAATCCAAGTGTCTTTAGCAAAGCTAACCCTTGGTAAGATGGCAGCAGATTCTAGTATTCTTCCATATATAAAAATCATGGTTTACACTGTCACCTCTGGCCTAGAGTAATTAAAAAACAAAACAACAACCCTCATCTCTACTTAAGAAGTCGAACTGGAAGGTACAGTTGGGATTATACACACCATTTTCAAGTACTACAAATGACCATTCAAAGCTGAATTAATAAAAGCACAATTTTTAAATAGGTTTATACAGGAAGAAGGAAAAGTATCCCCTTCTCTAATATTGTTTATAAAGAACCATCTAAACACTTGGTGAAGAAAGGATGTTCTTTTTTACATGTATCAAATTGCATTTCTGTGTCTTGCTGGTGAACACGGCAGTAACAGCTGTGCACACTGGGTTTCAGCTATTCTGCAGTGGAGACTTTTCATACACAAACAAATGGAAAGTTGTGCAAATATTCTCTGCAGCCAGCAATATCCTGGTCTGCTCTAATAGCACATCCATCTCGTCCTTTCCTGACTGTTGTGTGAAAGTTGTACCCATCAGATCAGCCATGCCAATCAGCTTGCTGTGTTCCATGGGCTACCAGCAGCCTATAGCCCCAAGGTAAGAATTCTTGGCACTCCTGAAATGCTTGTGCCTAACAGGTTACATTCTAATGAATATATTTACTATGCTCCTTAATAATGTTTTCACAGACTGTATATCAATAATAGAGATTCTTCAAGGTTGCCAAAATGGAAACAGAGGCAGTCTATGGCCATCTGAAATCTTACCAATACTGCTACTTAAATGGCAAGAAATAAACACAAAGCCCTCAAGGTTTGGACTATACCACAGAGAAACACTGATTTCTTTTATAATGTCTTTTAATTTGAAAACTACAGCATCTGCCCACTAGAAACATCTTAACTTGAGAGGTATTTAAGTTAAAAAGAACTACATCCCTATGCACATTCAAAATTCCTCCCCAAAAGGGCAAAACCTCTATTTACATGTTCTACCAGTATTTGATCTGAAGTGTGTCTTAAATTTTCTTAGAGGCTCCTGCCTCAAAATGTCTCAGAATCAAGTTAAATTATTTATTTTGTGACCAAACATGTGTATTTGTGTATGTCCAGATCACTGGTATTTACACAGGTTAAATATTCATTGCTCTTGAACAAAACATTTAAAAACTCAAAACCACAGTGTAAGTCTGTAATGTTTTTCAGCTTCTTACAGGACTCCTTTTGAGTTTCTTCCTAGTGACAGCTTGAACAGAACAGTACCTTCTGTGTTTTTTCTCTCGAAAGAGGAAACATGTTGACCGTAATGCCGCGTGTTGAATAAAATATGTTCAATATGTTGAGCACAATAGCTCCTAACTGTGTAATCTGTGCTAGGCAAGCTTACCCTAATGGAACAAGGCTTGAGTTTAATCCTGGGAACCGGGAGGATGGTGCTGGCAACTCACCACAAAGCAGGCCTCTGCCCTGTGGTTGCAGCTCAACTCACAGCTGTGAAATATGAACTCGTCATATCGTGTTAAAGTAAATGTAGCTTTATTTTACAAGTCCTCAAGTTATCATTAGAGGCATTATTCCACACCCTGTGAGTTTCACACCATTTTGGGGTTCACCCCTAGTCCTTGGTGAATTCTTGCAGTGGGCCATGTGAACCCAAGCTGTAAGGTCTGTGACCCCAAGACTGTCTATCAAAATATGAATTTAAAAAGCCTGGGTAGAAAGATAAGCTTGTCCCTGTGAGTCCTGTTTAGCAGTGACCTCTCTCAACAGTTGTAAATTCACAATGTTATATATTACCGAAGTTTGTCTCTGAAGTCTTCCCCTAGCATTGTCCTGGTATAATTTGGTCCCTTGCTAAGTTTTCAACCCCTGCCCTGGTGAATGATCATCTCCTAAGCCTGAAATGTGCCGTGGTGAGGGCCAATGGCCAAGGCTGCTATCAGCAGCTGGCTCAGTTCCACTCCTGCCCATCAGGTACCCAGGGGCCCAGGGGCCCTGCTCCTCACCCTCGCAGCCCTACCAGGCTGCCATCAGCTGCCGTTGCAACACTCACCTAAGATTTTGCTAATGTTGGAGTTATGCATGTCGGGGAAGGCCTGAAGGATTTTCCTCCTCTCGTCCTTCGCCCAAACCATGAATGCATTCATTGGTCGCTTGATGTGAGGCTCACTGCTGGCACGGCCGCGGGCATCCCTGTAGACTCGAGCTTCAGCCACGGTGGCGCCTCCTGTTGGCCAACAATAATACTGCTGTAGTTTAGCTGCGGAGCCATTCATGGCTTTACTTCCTGTAACGTCAGGGCAGGAAGAACAATACGGAAAGAGTTATTGTGGGAGGAACGCACGCCTTGTTGCCTGGCCCTGTCTTCTGTAGTCCTCCTGGCTAGCTCCACTGACCCTCAAGTTCTATTCTAACGCTGCTGCTTCAAGAATGGATGCGTTAATTCAATTAAACATATTAACTTGAGCAACTACTGTGACCTAGGGTTTATGTGCTAGGGAAGATTTCAAGAGGCTCACAGGCCGGGAAGGCAGACAGCTGTGCAGGGGTGTGTGATAACTGCTGCAGGACTGGAGTTAGGGTGCCAACGGAACCCCAGGCAGGATGGATAGACACAGTGTCTCAGCTGAGTCTGGAGGGCTGGACCACAATCAGCAGGGGAGGGGAGGAAAGCAGACAGGAAGGGTGGTCAGGCTCCAAGAGCAGCCCTGCAGTGAGGCTCCAGATGCAGGACACACATCCTCCTGCCCTCAGGCTCATGCCCTGAAGTAATTACTGTTTGTGTGACTCTCCTCCTGACCTTTCCACTCCATCCCCTGGAATAGAAAGCCCTAAAGCCAGAATCTCCGTTCTGCTCCCACTCTTGCAGATGGGGAACTCCTATAAACATAATAAGTATTAATCAACTAAAAGATAATTTGATTTTCAAATTATATGCAAAAGCAGTAGACTGAGAAGTACTCATTTCAAGGGTTTTGATATGTTTTTCTGTTGTTCAAAGGAATTTCTTTACCATATATGAAACTGTATCTAAATCCCTCATATTTTAAGCCTTCTGAAGAGCTGACTTCGAAGTCTGAGACTGAAGGCTCCCTGAGAACAAGCTGAGGGCTGGGTTTTACTGCTGCAGTGCTTGGGTCTGGTGAAGTACTTGGTATATGGAATTCCAATTAGTAAAATGTATGTAAGTAATGAATGAACTTCCATGAATCCCACTGGGGTGACACACTGACATGTGCTTTGGCTTTTGTTAACTACTGAATATCTCCATATAGATTGAGAACTTCTACAGTACCATGTAAAGTGGGTGGAGTGACGGCCCCAGCCAGGGTCCCTGCTCCACAAACACGAAAACCTGCCACAAAAAACTTTAGAAGCAAAGTACACATCGAAGCTAACACTTGAGGGCTAGAGAGATGGCTCAGCAGTTAAGAGCACTGACCGCTCTTACAGAAAACCCAAGTTCGATTCCCAGCACCCACATGGCAGCTAACAACTGTCTGTAACTCCAGTTCCAAAGGACTCCAACAGCCTCTTCTGAGCTCTTCGAGCGCTGCGCAACATGAGTTTCACTTACATACATGTAGGCAATACATTCATACACATGAAATAAATACAATAAATAAAATATTACAAAGCAAGGCTAACACTTCTGTTTTCTAGAACAAGCAAATTTGTTCAGCTCAGTGAAGTCATGAGAGTACACTCTTCTATCTCCAGATACCTTGTTGAAAGAGAAATTTGTTTGTGTCAAATGCAGTAATAAATTAGAACATTAAGGGGGGGGCTATTATTTGGCAAATATGGTCATCATTTACAACAAACAAAAGATAGGTTAAAAGGACAGAATTGGTTAATACTGTGAATTTTCCCTCAACATGAAAGAGGGCAGAGAGGCCATTTTCTGAAGATCATGAAAAAAATAACATATATTTTATAAACAGTCTGTCTTCAGGCCCACTAGACAGAGTGATGCCTTACGTGAACAGTCTCAGATCCCGAGATGCATAACTAATATGCTACCTCTTTGCCACCATACCCACAGTACATTAATTTCATTTAAAATGCACTGACCATACAGGATAAATTGATTTCACTTTATGTGGGTTTGACAGCCATGTTTATTGTGCAGTGAAATGTGGTGTAGCTTCCAGCTGACAATATCCATCAACACAGGGCAATATGCTGACTGCTGGGCCAGATGAAGGCATGCATTACTCTGGAAGTGAAACACTCACTCAGATACGACAGTGTCTTCTCCTGAGGATCACCGCAGTAATTTATGATGCCCTTGGTGCCATTACTTTACAACTGACATGGATTCAGCAATTTATATACTGGCATGTGTACACATAAAAAAAGACAGGTTTGTGGAGAACGTCAGATGCAAAAACATTTCAATATTATTCTAAGGGAACGGCTATGCCACAGGTGGTTAACACTGGAGGCCTGCTTCTGCAGTTGTAGCTTTCTGTCTACTTCTAGTAAAACCAAGTAGCCAGCTTCTGATGTTTTCGTGTGCAGTGCTTCCTTCGTGGTGAAATGGGAAGTACGAATGTCTTACAGACTGAAAGAAATCATGGTGGGGTTTAGACTTCGTTTGTAGTACAGAGAGACAGTCAAACACTATGCCATACTACTGACTCTGTCAGAGGTGTGCCCTGTCTCCCTCTCATGCTGAACCACAGCCTTAGCATGTTCTCATGCTCTCCTGCAGTATGAGATTCTACTCGCAGTGAACAGAGCTCAGATGCCACTTCCAACAACTACCATGCATTGGTTTCCCTTTGCCCCTTTCCCAACACACATCATCTACAGCACACTAAGTCCGTTACACAAGTGCGTTAGGGCTCAAAGAATACTTCCACAAACTAAGAAATTCAAGCACAGTGCATAGTACAAAATCCAAAGTAAAGAAGGACCTCTCTTCCCCATCCCCTCACACAGACATACACACACACACACACACATACACACACACAGATGCATACACACAGACACACACACACACAGATGCATTCACACATACAGACACACACACAGATGAATACACACAGACACATAGACACAGACACGTATACAGACAATACACACACAGACACACAGATGCATACACACAGGCAAACAGACGTACACACATACGTGCACACACAGACATACAAATACACAGATGCATACACACACTCACAGATACACACACATATTCACACATGCACACACATACATGCGCGTGCATGCACACACACACACACACACACACACACTTTCTTGTTGTCTTTACTGAACAATAAAGGGGACACTCTACACCAGGACTGTTGTTCAGATGAACCAAGGTTTGGGAAGAAGAGACTTATCCAAATTTGAAATTGACCTGCAATCTGATCAGATATCAACTACAACTGTGCCTTTTAATATGACACAGATTTGCCTGTGCCCGGGTCCTATTGAAACTGTATCCTGAGCACGTTTTGCTTTTCTTCCTCTCCACTTCTTGCTGTCACACCCTTTTCTTCCATTCTAAGGTGACTGGTGTAATGGATACCAAGACCTCACTCTCCTTCCTAATTAGCCAACGAGAAGCAGCAACTTGTTAGTCTACGCTGCACATGAAAACTGGCCTCAGTCACGACTGCTAACAGCCATGTCCTTTCTCAAATTCATAATAGTGGGATTAATGCTTCGGGCTGACAGAAAGAACCCAATGCTGTGCACCTCAGATGCATGATGGGGGTGTGCTGGGGGCTTCCTTCTGTCTTTCTGCATTGCCTACCCAACACAGCTTCTATAAAGCCAGCCAGAGTTCACCATATAGAAAGATGCTTTTCAACAAAGAATTCTTAAGCTGAATCTTCTGATAGAAAACATCTCTCAATATCATTTACTTTTATACTGAAAGATGACAATTTATTATTTGAGCATCCAACTTATGCTTGAATAAGCTAGAATAACAATTTAACAAAGATATAAGAAGCCAAAAAGTCTGAAGAATGTTCAGAGAGTATCCCTAAATGTCCCTAAAATTTTCTTCATGAAACAAAAGGGTTAGGGAGTTATTGTAGCAGCAGAAATATATATGACTACATATGTACCTATCAATTAAGAAATTAAAAGAATGGAATTACAAATTTTGAAAAGCCCCATTAAAGAGATACAAAAATTTCAGAATTCTGTAACTTGTTTGCGAACAATACTTTATTAATCTATTTATTGAAAACCAAAAATCCACTTTCCGTTACAAATAAATTAAAAAATATATACATCTAGTATGATACTATCCTATTTTTTTAAATATCATTAAAGGGGCTGGAGAGATGGCTCTGTGCTTAAGACCACCAGATGCTCTTGCAGAGGTCTCAGGTTTGATTCCCAGCACCCACATGGCAGGTACCTCTAGTTCCAGGGGATCCAGCACCCTTTGCGTCTTCTGTCCTCTGCAGGCATTGCACAACACAGGCACACTTACATATATGCACATAAAATAAGTAAAATCTTCAAAAATTCATTAAGCATATAAAAAGCATTTTTTCCTTAAATAACCAATATTGTATATCAGAATCCAGAACCAAGCTGTCCTAAGTAATCACTCACTATTCTATTAGGGAGTTTCCTTTAATAGCAGAGGAAATATTTGTGAATTCAAGAGGGGTTCCCATAAAAGTGGTTGCAAGAAGTGCAGACTCACAGCCACATACTGGGACTGCTCACTTGCTGACCCTGGAGTCTTTACCCACCAGCAACAGTGGCCCCAATGGCAGTTACTGAAGGCCAGGAGAACAGCACCATGCCAGACAGCAAGGGAAGCATGGTCCCTGTAGGTCAGGACATCCTGTTCTGTGCAATGCTCCCACCCCCACCCCACGAGGTTTAGGTTGGTTAACTCATCCTTCATCTCCTAAGACACAGGTTGTATAAATATAAACTTTCAGTTAAATAAAGAAATCTGTAGGGGGAAAACAGAAATAGCCAAGACAAAGACCTCCTTAGGAAGCTGGCATGGGAATGATTTAGAGAAGACAAAATGAGTTTTTCCAGGTGGGTTGTTAAGAAGCCCGTTCTACCATCACAGCCAATGGCAATGGTCCTGAACTAATCCTACAGAGGCCCTTCCTGGGTAAATCCCAGGGGCTGTCTGGGTGAGTGAGGACTTGGTGTGGGTTTATTATATACAAAATTTTCTCCAGGAAGGAATTCTGGAAAGCTCGCTTATGCACCCACTTAACCAACACGCCTGACAATCTCAGATGCATTGATGCTGTGATGAGGTAGTCCAAGGCAAACAGCACCTGT